ATTAGCTTTCTATCATCTTAACCAGATCGACTTACTGAAGGTAGCCAGTTGACGCATATATACACAGGCCTGGTCCCGCTTGAACAGATCCAGCCGGTGGTAGTGGAAGTCGAATTCAGGAACTAGGAGAGGTGGTTAGGTAATAAATCAGAAGAGCATAGTGAAAATAAGATAAATACCATCTTTAAATACACAGTAGGAAATAAAATTAAGCGAAATTTATACCCTAAAACTCGGCAAAGGGCCAGTTTATTGAGTGTAGACGGTGATATATATGATGTTGGTCAGTGACTAGCATTAATAAATGGACGGACTTGCCTAATTCAATCAAGCGTCTCAAAGGAGGCGCATCGACAGGATCCACAGAACGGATAGCAACAACGAAGGGGGTCACTGGATTGCTTATTCGTTTCCATCGGTAAGTGATACGGACAAGTGAATGTTCTGAACTGCTATTCGGCGGGGGCATGTGGCGCGCATCTGACACAGACGCTAGAGTGCTGGCTCCTGAACGCTGGAATGTGCCAGTTTTGTAGATAGAAGATCTGGAGGGAGGCCGAGTAGTCCAAATTGGCGAAAAAGCTGGAATATGGATATGGCTGGCATCCTAATTATTACAGTGAAAGGGAAACAGAATGATTGATAGTTTATAATAACGTTTTAGCCGCCATGCTCGAATGATAAAATCAAAAGTAGCCTAATAATATCCTTCGACAGCCTTCACACAAGCAGCGTTGTTTTGAGCTTCAGCAAATGATATTCCTTTTAATTGGAGTGCAAAAATAATGTAAAAATTAATCCTCGGCAGTGTAAGAAGGCATATTAATTGCAATTACCCACGGGGGTATACAGAAGAGACCCCAAACTAGGATGAAAGGATTCAGCTCATAATAAGTGATTTATCGAGAAGGTAATTAGATTAAACCAGATTTTCGCGCAATGAGTCAAATAAATACTAGTTTATGACAAAATAATATTAACAGTAAGTTTCATTCAAATTGAAACTTTTGCCGGAATATTTCGATTCAAATGGAGTCTGTCTTCGTACATAGCAATCCTCTGAAATATGTATAGTATAGGAGTTAATGGCTGTGACTAAGAGGGGACTAATAACAAAACTTCAATGAAGTTTAAAATCATTTGGTAAGCAAAAGCTACTTGTACCTATGATTTTCGCTGCCGATAATACTAGGCCTCTGGAGACTGTCCTATAAGTTAGAATAATTACTAAGATTAGGCATTACGGACCGTCTTTTCAATATAGGAGCCTCATTTGCAGGCTGAGCAAGTCTTAAATGGAATAAATATTTACTTACCAATTGTACGATAAAGCTGATCTTGCCTTCAGTCTGGGTGAGCAAAGGCCGCCGCACTCGTTCAACGAACCCAGGCACTCGTTCGAATAGACTAATATCTGCGTGTAGCACCGGCATATTCGAGGATAAAAAAGAAGGAGGAACGGATGAACCGATAGGCGTATTTGATGCGGAATTAGGGCCAGGCCTCTCGTTAGCTTCCTTGTCAACGTCGTTTATCCCAAGAACGGGAGGAACGGTACCACTTGTTGCCCCCATCACGTGGCCAGCGCTAAGAATCGACACGTTCGCTCGCCTTTTCCTAGAAGCCATAATCGAGGATGACAAACTGCCGAGAAGTGTGCTGAAATTTAGTGTAGGACGAGTGGGCTCCGAGACACCATTTCGAAGACCAAATGAGCCAGTTGACTTCGAAGTGGAGTGAGGTAAGGAGAGTGAAGAATTGAATAAAGCGACTGAGGCCCCAGTTCGCTCGGCCTCTCTCGCAGTCAGAGTGGTGGAAGTGTCGGTGGTATCGCCGAAAGAGACAGACTGACCATGAGCCTTTGGGTCACCTACAATAGTAGAGCCGAATGAATGACGGCGATCTGACGCCGGCGTAGATTCCAGCTTTCTGCGAGGCTTACGGGGAGATGCTGTGGTCTTATCGGCTATATCGGATGGGTTGGAGAAGGTGGTTGCACCAGGTGGACGGGCTAGATCTCCAGTGGCTAGTTGAGCGAGCCCAGGATGCATTAAGGTGTGGCCGCCTGGAGCATGTACTACGAAGGCTACTGATCCGCCCTGGACGCGTCCCATTCCCTCTCCAGGACCACGACCACCGCCACCGCCACCGCCGTCCCGGGAGAAGTGAGCGACAACATCGAGGATTTCGGCCAGATGTAAGTCGATACCCATTACCCCGATCAGATTGCCCTGATTGAGGATGTCAATACAATAATGAGCATTTGTTAGTAACCCAGCCATTCATAACAATACAGTTCTAGTTCGAAAGACACCTCA